GGTAGTGCTGCGGGGCAGGAAACATGGTAGAAGGTAAAGGACACCAGTTGTGTGTTACAGACACACAACAGTCTGTGAGACCCCGAGGGATAAATCTGATCATTGATCCAAAGAGGGGGTGTCGGTGGTACAGGGGAGATTAGTTCTGAGGTAAAGTGTTACTAACTGCTAAAAATGCCCCCAAAATGGATTGTTACTTGTTTGCTGTGAGGGTTTTTCTTTCCTTTCCCTCTGGGAAGCTGTTGGAGTGGGGTGGGCAGGCCCATGGCTTGCACAGCATTCCCTGCCGGCGTGCGGCCGTCGGTACTCGCAGAGCTTAAGCAAGATTAAAAATGCTTATTCAACTTGCTGTCCCTTTGCCAATACCCCTGTGGCTTCATAAGCAGCATGTTCCTGGGAGAGGCAGGCGGTGCAGGGCAGAGATGTCCTTATTCAAAGTGATATTCTTGTAGACCTCGGACTCAATAAATCATTTACTTGAACGCTGATGTGATGAGCTGAATTGAAGGAAGAACGTGAGTTTGAATCCTGGATTAGGAGCAAGTTGGTACCAGAACAGTGGGAGGGGTGGGGGTATTTTTGTATTTCAAGTAAACTGAGCTGCTTCAAGATACTCAAATATCAAACCAGTCTCTCCATGTTGTGCCCGTGGTAAGTACTGGGGGGATTGAAGACTTTGGATGGCTTCAGCCTCCTCGTCACAGAGCCTGTGCAGCAATGGTCTCACCACCACAGTCATGTCCTGGCTTTGAAAAGGCTGGTTTATGACAAGAGTTTTGTTTTCCTGTGTATGATCCATGAGCTCTATAAGGGTTGGAACTTTATAAGGAACTTCAGGCAAGCAGAACAGTATATAAATACTAAATGCCATTTTCTTGAGCTAAAGGTATGTTCTTGATTAACTCAGGATTCAAACATTACCAATCATCATTCCAACTGTTGTGCCATTTCCCGAGATGCTCTTTTATGGCTCTTCTGTTCACAGAAGCTATCTGGAAGGCAGCCTTCTGGCAAATGGTGCCTTACTGGGAGCAGAAGAGCTTAGCAGGTATTTCCCTGACCGCAATATTGGAATCTTTGTGGCCACCTGGAACATGCAGGGTCAGAAGGTACGTGCCCAGAAGTCTCTGCAGGTCTTTTGGCAGTGATGAAGTTACCCCATCCTTACTGCAAGGACTGGCGTGGTGGGTTTTCCTGTTCGTGACTGTGCTCCTTGTCAACCCGAGTTCATTGTCTTGCTCCAGTGATGAGGCCCTCTCATGTGTGTTTACTTTGGTGAGAGTGCATTGTAACGGGGTTCCTGAGATACTGGTCATGAAAACAGGGACCTCTCTGGCTTTTTGTGGCAGCTCCTTAACACTCCATTACAGTTAGGGTCATATGAAGATGACTGATGATTCTGTGCTTATGATGAGAAAGTCCCTGATACTCAGCCTCCTGCCTACATCTTTATGTAGCCTATGAATTCAGGATTGATTCTGCCAGGTGACTGAAGAGCCCTGCTTGGAGGAACACAGACAACCCCTGGGCGGTTCAGGAAATAGCCTACAAACTTGGTAAAAGCATCAATGGAAGTCCGAAAATGCCTGTTACTGACCCGCGTGGCTGATATTTGGTTACTGCTGCAGTGACAGCAGCTGAAGTCTGCCTTTGGGAAGGAGACGCCTCAGTACTATCGCTTAACCTGGGTTTTGAAGCCTGAGTTGTTTGCATATGCTGTGGAACTGAGAGCTTAGCCTGGACTTTTCTTGTACTTTTCTAGTGAATTCTTGCATAACTAATACTGCTGTTTTATCTTTATTAATAACAGGAACTTCCATTGAATCTGGATGACTTCTTATTACCAACAGATCCTGACTATGCCCAGGACATGTATGTCATTGGGGTTCAAGAAGGCTGTCCAGACAGGTAGCAAAACCAATGTAATGAACCATCCTCTTTTATTGCTAATTAATTCCTTTGTTTTAATTACTCTGGAAATAGTCTCCATCATACTCTTAGTATTGTCAATAAACAGCCCATTTAATAAGACTGAATTCCCTTGCGTGAGCACCACGGGAAGTGAGTTTGGGAGGCAAATGTCACAATAATCTATAAATGTAGACCTTGGTGCTATTTTCGGGCAGGTAACAGCAAAAGTCCATCTGAATTCTGTGAGCTGGCCATGAGCGAGCTCACGTTGGCTGTTGGCATTAGTGGCCACATGCTCAGCAGTGTTACATGCTTCCAGTTTCTAGCATGTCTGAGGTTGACCAACCCTGGAGGAGAGGTTGAAGCCTCATGTCAGACTCTGCTTTTTTGGGGTATTTCCCAGTGGGAGCCTCTTTCC